CGACTTTGACATTAAAAATCAGGACTTACGTCTCCTTCTCACATTAAAAATCCACTTTGCTGTTAAGGCAAAGATATCGCGATTCAACCTACGCAGAATTATCCCCTCGACAAGCAAAAATTGACGAGTGCATGACAAATAAGCCATAAAAATTCTAAAAAACATCATCTCGAGGATCGACTTAATCTCGAAGATGACTTCATGCCTCTTTTTGAATGAAAAATGAATGCGATCATTTAGTATTTTTGACTCACTCATAAATTATTATCGAGTTGTGTACTTTGACCCTCGAAAGGATGCAAAATGGCAAAGTACGTGGCAACAAGTATGAATTGATGAAAAGAAGCTATTGAACATTGCAGAACGGAACAAATAAGCATAAGATATTTTCTTCGAATCTCTTTCATTACTCTCCCCTACCTCATTCCCTCTATGTATTTAACCATTACATTAACGCGCAGTGGTTATGCATATGCCCCTCATCCCTCTCAGTGCTCACTTTGTTGAATAAAAAAAAAAATGAAGAAAGCAACTGGTGGATAAGCGCCACATCGTTCATCGTTTGCATTATGCACCGTCGCGTCATTTTCTCGTTTAATCTACCGACGTTGAAACGTAAATAACCCCTATATACCTTTCTTATGTTCCAACTCACTGGTATGTTAGATTTTGTTCTTGTTCAATTAGCGTTATGGTACTCGATATATCAATTCATGAGGAAAAAGAGAGAATTACGGAAGTTTTTTACTCGAGCTAAAGGGCTTGAAGGGAAAAAGTTTGACGATGGCCTGTTGAAATTTTCATGCTGCGCTCCCTCACTTCTTCATCTGTACCTCCTCGAATGCATAATTAATTAGACTTTCTAATAGAACGTAGGGTAGCGAAAAGGGAATTAACAAGCCCTAGAGATAAATCATAAATTACTTCATTCTCAGTGTGAGGTATTTCATAAGGGCACATTTCAAATTAAATGGGGACAACCTTGTAAGGGAGTCCATCTAATTTTCTCGTTAGTTTTTATGTTAATTGATCAATCTGCACCGCAGATATTCAATGGGAATTAAATAATATAGGTGAACGTAGAGATGGAAATGTTTTGTACGTATTCTCATTTATCGATTTGACTATTTATATAGGTAAAGAAAAAATATGAAATATCAAATGAAAATGAATTCAGTGGAGAATGATTTGTGATTAGAAATGAAGTTTATTCAAATTTCCTCAAGCGATGAAAGGAAGAGCTGAATCGATTGCAAGTTGAAAGTTTTAATTAGGTACACAATGCACCCAGCATTGTCGTCAATTGTGTCACAGTTTTACGTCACTTTGACCTGTGATGTGCAAAAAGTGTGAAGCTTTATTGTAATGCATTGAAAAGGAATATTAATGCTCAATGTGTGGAGAATTGGATCAATGGCTCACCTCATAAAAAATCCACGAGGAAAATATTGTCTGAATGAAGTTGTAGACAATGAGTATCCTACGCAAGTTGAATGGTTTACGATTCTCCATCATTCTTGGGCCAATGACTCTGCTGAAATAGGCATATGATATGCATATCGCCATTGTTGGTAGAGGACTGCTCATCATTGCCCAGTGGGCCACTCTGGGATCTGTGAATAATGTACAGAATAAACAACTGAATCTACTATTACGTTTTCTTCCTAAATTTGAATCATTACTAATTCGACTTCACTGAGTTCAGCAGCCAAACATTCCATTCAATTGAAAAGCTTTTCTATTCTCCTACTCACCCCCTCACGTTCAGTTCAATTCGAACTTTCAATTATAATTTTTACTTATTCAATTGAAAATTATGATATTAATAGAGATTTTGTAGAACGTGTGTTTTGCTGATTGAAAAAATCCAATATTAGATATTCGTTCGATGATTATTTAATTAGATAATTAGAGAACTTGTACATGAAAATTAATTACATGAGTATTTGCGAGGATAATGAAGGCTATTATGGATTTTATGTAAATGAAATTACTATTTTTGAAAATTATCATGTCAAAAGCTCGTTGAAATCTTTGAAATATATAATATATTATATAATATATTTGCATAAATTCTGTCGAATGCTGCAATACATGGGGGTAAACGTAAATTTTAGAAAGTGATATAACGATGAAAAATGGAAAAACTTTGATAACTTTACTAAAACGCAATGAAATCAAATAAAGCTGAAGCAATTTCAAA